TGGGGTTAAATGTTATAGGCCTATCTGCCTTCACTTTATCACACACACACACACACACACACACACATACAGTGTGTGCCTGCTTACCTGTTCAATGTGATGTTTTTCTCCCTCCATCAGCAGTGGGGCAGACAGGTTCCTCTTCTCACCTTCCATCCAGCTGTAAGTGTGCTCCGTGTGAGAGGGAAGCAGGGTGTGTGATGTCACTTCCTGCCCCGCGTCCCATCCTCACACAGAGTACTGAGTGCTGCAGGGAGAGAGAGAGAGGAGACCTGGCAGTGAGAGCAGGTATGCTGCGCCAGGTCTCACACTGAATATGGGGGGGGGGGGGGGGGTTTATTAGCAGTGTGATGAGATGGAGGGGCCATTCGAGTCATTATGGGCCCCTGCAACCTTCTTACAGCACTTTCTTTGCATAACTTACTTCTGCTGTGGAGATCTCTGATCTCCACAGCAGGAGCATGACTGTGCTGCTGGGCCCCCTGACTGACTCAGGCCCTCGGTCCATGACCGATCTGCCCGACCTGACAGTCCGCCCCTGCCTATATGGCACTGTAGCTTCACAAAATAGTGCCAAAGACATACACTGGGGTATCGTTGTACTCAGTAAATGTAGCTGAACACAAAATAAAGTTTTGTACAGGAATAGCACACACCAACTTTACACATGAGAAGTTCATTGTTATAAGTTTGTGTGTCAAAAAACAAAACACCCCCCACAATTTTACTCCAATATTTAGCAGAGATTGGCGGTGAAATGGCTACGTTAGAAAGTGTCAAAAAAACCTTAAGTAAATAGCCTGTGAAGTCTACTTTATATAAATATATACTTGTGTGTGGCAATTTTCTTCTCTTTTATGGCTATTAAGCTTTGTGGAGTGTTCCTGTCACTGGTCCAAAGGTCTTACCATCAGCAATGTGGCTCTAGTAAGGTCCTGGAAGAATAGAAACTGTAAACCTTCAAAGGCCAGCAGTGTTTTACCTTTTAGGGCTGTTATTTGTATTTTGTCATGTACCGTTATACAGCGCAGGAAGACATCTCTGGGTGTGCTGGGCGAGATGCAGACTGAACCCGTCCCTCAGTAGATCCAATCTAGGATGATTGTCTTTGCAGTTGTCTGTGGTAATATTGTTGAAAGCAGGCCCCCTTATGTAATGTGGCAATTCCTCAGTCGAGACTGTGGTGGGTACACCACAGATTTTGATGTGTCCGACGTTGTTTATCCTCTAGGGACATTATTTTGGCAGCTAATACATGCTGCTCTGCTTGGAGTTGTTGGACAGAGTCCCTGAGGGTGACTACTGTGTCTTGGACACTGGTGAGGTCGTCCTCTGCGGTTCTGACCTGGTCTGTTACATGTTGGATGTCAGCTTTTAACAGCACGAAGTCTGCTGCCAGCAGCTTTTGTATATTGACCAATAGTACTTTTAGGTCCCCTTTAGTGATGGGGGCTGAATCGTCTTGGGGTTCAGGCGGCAGTGAGTGTTCCGCCGGAGGGGCCATTATGATAGTCGGCTCACCTCTAACTGGATATGAGGTCAGGCAGCTGTCGGGTAGGTGTGCAGTGTGAACTGGCTTTGGTTGCACAGGCCGAAGCAGCATTTCCCCGATGTCACTGCCTTGCGAGTTGGTGCCGGCAGTGTGTTTTTGTGAACGGCAGCCCATGGTAAGTGTGCAGGTATCGGGAGGGGAGAGCTCCGGATAGCTTCTGCCGAGGTAGGCCTCAAGGTCTAGGTGTGGCGTTGCACGGTAGGCCGCAAATTTTCGCCTTTGCCTAGGCTGTTTGGGAGCCTGAAAGAACGGCATCAATCGGTGCAGTATGCTTTGCTGGGGTATGTTAAGCTGTTTTCGGGCTTTGATGGGGCCTGGAAAGGGAGATTAACTACAGATTGTATCTGAGTTCTGGAGAGCTCGCTGAGATGGCATCTGATCAGGATACAGTGCTACAGTGATATAATAAAAAAAAAAAAAAAGAAAATTGGAGGCTGGATGAACTTTAAAAAAATAAATAAATAAATAACATAATAAAAACCCAACAAATAAGAATTTGTGAGTGTTTGAGAGAATGTACCGGTCAGTGAGTGTGTGTGTTATTGTGTCCGTTTAGGTGACTGGAACCATATGATAACATAGGAAAGGTGTTTTTACTCACCTTTTTGTCCACACTGAGCCATTCTCACTGCAGCTGGACCCACCAGATCATCAATCTTGCTTTGGGAGGCTATCGTGCATGTGCGTCAAAACGCCTTACTGTGTCAATTAGCATCTCCTCACAACATTTAGTGCCTCCATGCAAAGCGTGGAGACGCTGAACGTAGGGGTTTCACACTGTGCAGCACTGGTTTAGGAAGCAACTCTAGTGGCCATCTGAGTGACTGTCACTAGAGGGGTTAAAGGACCACTATAGGCACCCAGACCACTTCAGCTTAATGAAGTGGTCTGGGTGCCAGGTCCATCGAAGGTTAACCCTGCCTGCTGTACACATAGCAGTTTCAGAGA